TGATAAAAGTTTCATATTTCGGCCTCTCTTCAATAAGCGGCATACTTGCATCATCACTACTCACATCTGCACGCAAATAAATCTTCTATTAGTGGTTTTGACCTTTGTCGAATCACCCATTTCTCGCGATGAATCATATCTCGAAAACGCCTAGAAATGTTTGGTGTTTTTATTCCATCATCATAAAGAGCAAACAGAATTATTCTAGTACCAAAAATAACAAAAAAAGTTGTCGGTGAAATTTCGAGATTCAGATTTTTGTGACCAAATTTCCTCAATAAAATAAAATTATAAAGTATATTTAATAAGCTCTCTTAATCAATAATTTATTCATTTTTGATTAATAATTCTCATCACCGAAAATTTTAGACAAGCTACTTTTCAAGGATAATAGTATTCTAAATGCTCTTCTTAATTTATGAGTCTTATAAGATAATCTTGAATATTCATGAAAATATAACAGTCAGAAATTTCACTTTTTTTTAGTAAACGGTTGGTTGCACACTTCTTTTATGAACGGAACAGAAATGATATTATATAGATTATTCTTTATTTAAAAAAAAATTATAAACTTCATATCTTTTAATAACACAATTTAACTTTTTTATGTTTCAATTTTTCTCTTTTATTTTATTTTATTTTATTTTTTTTTTTTTTTTTTCTCTTTTATTTTTTTTTTTTTTATAGTTCGGAGTTAATCCATTCTTAATCCATTGGTGATTGGACAATGGAATCAATCAAATTAACTAATGATCACAAAGGACTCATTCACTATATCACATTTTATTAGGCTAGTCAATCAATTCAATAAAACAAGAAGAGAAATCCATATTCCAGTTGTTAGACATATTGTTTATCTAAAAAGAAGAAGATAAGAAGTTAGATAGTGTTTGTTTATTATAACTTACAGCTTTTCAGTGATTGATTGTATTTCATTCACGAGGATTCCTACAGTCGGTAAACTTGATATCCATTGTGAAGATTTTCCATTTTTCGGAACAATTGTACATAATTGGTAAAACTTTGCCCAATAAATCACCAATCTTTTAACAATTTGTTTCATTATTTCTTTTCCATTCAAAAAGTCACCAAATTTTGATAAATGTGTGTCAATCATCGATTTAATTCTTTCGGTATGCCTAGCTTTAAAATCTACAGCGATTTCTTCAAGCTCTGAAAGGTTGTAGTTTGTTTTTCTTGGTTGATCATTATCAACTTTTTCAAATGCATCAATAACAAGAGAAAATAGAGACTCAAAATGATTCTTCAGCAACAATTCTATAAATTTCATGTTCGTAACATTCAAATATTGATCAAAAATTGGAAGCACGACTGATTCTTCAACATCACGAAGTGTATTGACTATATGGAAGTAATTATTTATTAAGAAAATTAATTCCATTTCTTCAGAAGAAAACGATTTACTAATTGTTTCTAACAATTGATTCATGGATTGACTGAGAGACTGAGTTTCTTGGATAGTGAATTCATCAGTATCTTTATTATTAACCAGAGAAATAGACAAAGCGAATTCAGCAAATCTTTTTGTCAGAGAATTTGCTAAATGGGCTGTTGCTTTATTTTCCGTGAAAATTGTAAGATTTGAAGGGTTTTCTGAATTTTGAGTAAAAGCAGCTCGATTAGCAGTCAAAATTGTTTTTAGTTTAGATGCAATCTTCTGTTGTATGCATTTGAAGTGTGCATCAAGTAATGATATTTTTCGTCTGACCATCTCTTTTTGATGAACGATGGCAAACCTCATGAATATAATTAATGCAATTGGATCGGTGATTTTGTCAATAAGCTCAGTCATGAAGGTTTCCATATATCTGGAAGTTGATGAGAAAATCGGCATGCCGATATTTGGATCATCGAAGAAATCAGAAGCAAAAACTGTTTCCGCGGTTATTGTATCAATCAAAGTTTGATATAAAGATCTCATAAACGCTTCAACAGGATATTGATCATCACCAAATGGCTGTGGTGGAGAAAGGATCTCGTGAAGGATTCGATGTCGCTCCCTAATTTCGAAAAATGCGGTGGATTCAGAAATTGTTCGCTTCGATGAAAAGAATCCTTTTTGAACAACAGGAAAAATCATTTCTTGTGAAATTGAAATAGGATTCATTTTTCTGAACACTCTCTTTGCCAACATTTTGAAATTTTCGAGGTAAATTCGAGACATAATTGCGACGTAATATTCGCGAATTGTCTGTTCAACATCTGGCGAATTATTTTTGAGGAATTTGAATAAATATTTGGATTTAAGAAGCTCTGTTTGAACGGCAACTTGGTCAGTGCCATAATGATCGCGTAAATGATCGATTCTCGAAAGAAGCCATTTTCTAACGTTATCTGATGCTTTTAATCGTAGTCTGTCGAGTGGAATTCTTGTTTCTTTTGCAGCCGCTGAAGATTTGAATGCATCTTGTTTGATAATCTCGAGTTTGTGATTTAATTGATTGAGCCACTTCACATAGCGAGGCCCAACAACACCGTTTACAATTTGGTTGATGAATTCTCTCGAAAGGGATATGTCGCGAGCGTATTGGCCGAGTAGAGTTTCGAGATTTTTTCGGTTATTTAATTTTATCGTAATGGCCTGAGAGCGAGTTTGAAGCGTGCAAATGTCGGACGATAGCTGAGAAAGGGAACCTTTGAATTGGGAGAGCGATTTTTCGATTTCGGCGAGGGCATTATCGCATTGCATTATTTCGGTGTTGAGTTGGTTTGCTGTTGGAACTTGTCGTAAATAGTCTTCGATTGATTCACCTTCGACGATTTTGAGTTGTTTTGCAATTTCTGATCCATAATTTTGAAGATCGACGCCGACCGCAAGAACTTCGCGAACAGATGGATCTTGAGCGAAATTTTCAATATCTTGTTCCATTTCATCGAATAAATACAGCGATTCTTGATCTATATCATTCATGGAAATTGGAGACCGTTAACAATGTCTTCTTTATTTTCACCACTCCTATTTTCCGCGTTTATATGGTCTATAATTCTGATGAAATGACCATATAAATACGTAAAAAGCTGATATAGAAAAAGAATTGTGAATATAAATGTTTATGAATTGTTATATGAAAAGTGGATGTTTCTCAATTCATGGAAAAATCAACAAAGAAATATTTAGGATTCTTTCCTCTTCAATGGGCAGCCATAATATTTGTTGCAATTGTGTCATTTGCTATTCATCTTCCCCGACTTGATCATCCATGCGTTGTTGTATTTGATGAAACCCACTTTGGTGGATTCATTTCCGATTATCTCAGAGGGATTTGCTTTTTCGATATTCACCCTCCTCTTGCAAAACTAATGCTTGCAGGACAGGCATATGTTACAGGATATCATGGCGATTTCAACTTCTCAAAAATGGATTCCAAATATTCGAGCGATTTTTACATACCAATTCGATTTCTTCCCGCTTTTCTTTGTTCACTCGCATCACCATTAATGACTGCCACCTTACTACTTCAGCATGTTTCAATTTCAATGTCAGTTTTATGCGGATTATTATTTTCTTTTGAATTCAATCAAATCACACAAAGTCGTTTAATTTTAACAGATGGAATCCTCTACTTCTTCGT